GGGAGGGAAGAAAGGGAAGGGAAGAGGGAAATGGGGGAGGATGTGCCCTGCGGATAATGGATAATGTGTTCTTGTCGTCGTGTGGGAGGCTGGGGGTCCGTGGACTCTCAAATCTCAATTTCTTCACAAACACCACCCACCACATTGCCGTCTGGTGAAACCAATGCAAAACCATATTTTAAACCTCCATGGCTCAGATCCCGCAAACGCCAGGCTGCACTGAACCCATGCCATGCTGCTATGTGATGATGAAAAGGGCAAAATCAAGGTCTAAATGCCTGCTCGCGCACGCCCTATCATAACGGAAGGGGGGTGTCGTCTCTCATGATATAGACCTCGCCAATCAGAACCACGCACCCCACTGTCATGGCGATGGCGATGATGGGCAGGTTGACCCGCGCAAAGTCGAGTCTCCGGACGCGGATGTGCTTCTTGGCCAGGATGTCCCGCCAGAGCAGGCCGGCCAGGGATGCCGAGATCGCGGTGGAAAAGGCGCCGTAGTTGACGCCGAGCGCCATGGCGTAGACGGTGGCCCAGAAGGTCCGGGTGGAGATGGCGGTATGGTCGACGCGGTGGATGAGCTGCCACGCCTGGATGACGCGGGACAGGAGAATGGTGGTGCCGATGTTGGTGCCGGAGAACTGCGCGTGTCAGGCCTTGGGACTTGCAGGTGTCTGGGATAAACTTACGTTGCAGAGAACGACCGAGATGAAGCCCATCCCCCCGACAGCTCCGACTGTTCCCGTCTTCCTGACCCAGTGGTCCCTGTCGAACAATCCCAGTCAGATTTTAAGCGGAAAGTGTGTCGGGCGCTCAGCCGGCTCCCGAATCGGCCAACTAGAATGGGAGACTCACCACCCAAGCGCAAAGACTTGGACCCAGCCCTTGGTGACCAGCGCCTGGACTAGCACAAACATGGCAAAGGCAAAAGGCACAAGCGCAAAGGGCAGATGCGATATGACCGCCGTGGCGGTGGGAAACGTCTCCTGCGCCCACCTGAAGCAGTCGCTGGCAAGGGACACGAGCGTCGTCTGTTTGCGCCGCTGCGGATGCAGCATCAAAGCCTGGGACGTCGCGCCCTTTTCGCACCGGCTTCCAATCTCTTCCGTCTCTTGTGACGACGGCTTCTCCGGGGCGATGCCGGTCACGGTGATCTCGTCGTCCTTGCGGCCATTGTCGAGAGCCGCCTTCGGAAGGGCTAGCTGGTCGTTTGGCAAGCCCGCCTGGTCGGAGCCGGAGACGTCGGATGAGGGGGTCCGTTCCCCATCCGCGGGGGTCTTCTTTTCCTCCTCTTCCTGCAGCGCCCGTTCCAGCTGGATTCGCTCGAGCTCCTCGCGACCCTTCTTGGCGATCTCGCGCGTCTCGTGGCGGTTGAGCCACCCGTAGCCCAGATCCCACGCGAT